ATATCTCCATCACAAGATAAGGCTTGAAAATGCAAGTTCCAAAATAATCTAAGTCAAAGACAATGCCTCTCTCCTAGACAAACAAAAGGAATATCCAATCACAAAAAGAATATTACGCCTCTTACAAGTTTGTAAACATTGATCTCATAATCAAAGTTATTTACAGCTCTACTTTGTAAGAGATTGGTTTCTATCATATCTTAATGCATTTTGCTATGCCTTCTGTACCTTCTGATTTCCAGTGGAGGATATTTTATCCTTTCATAAATTTGATGTTTCTTTTTCCTCATAAATTTTTCCTTTTGCCTCTAAGACTATAATATATGATTTTAACATTTTTTCTCCAAATAAAAATGATTTTAACATTTAAGAGCAGAAAATGTGCAATACTACCTGACCCAAAGAAGAAAGAAAAGAATAGAGAATTGGATATTTGGGCAGTTATTTTGAGATTTTTATGTTTGTTTTTCTATTGAGGATGATGTCTTATTCTCCACTCTGTAATTCCTTCCATCTCTTCCTTAATAATGGTTCTTCTTTTATCAAAAAAAGAAAAAAACATTTATGCAAAAGAAAGAGATTTGTTGGTACCAAATTATTGTAACTTATGTTTGGTTGTTGATGTAGCTTTTTATGTTTGTTTTTGTATTGAGGATGTTTTATTCTCCAATTCTGTAATTCCTTCCATCTCTTTCTTAATAATGGTTCTTCTTTTATCAAAAAAAGAAAAGAAATTTATGCAAAAAGATAGAGATTTGTTGGTACCAAATTATTGTAACTTATGTTTGATTGTTGATGTAGCTTTTTATGTTTGTTTTTGTATTGAGGAGGATATCTTATTCTCCACTTCTGTAATTCCTTCCATCTCTTCCTTAATAATGGTTCTTCTTTTATCAAAAAAAGAAAAGAAATTTATGCAAAAAGAAAGAGATTTGTTGGTACCAAATTATTGTAACTTATGTTTGATTATTGATGTAGCTTTTTATGTTTGTTTTTGTATTGAGGATGTCTTATTCTCCACTTCTATAATTCCTTCCAACTCTTCCTTAATAATGGTTCTTCTTTTATCAAAAAAAGAAAAGAAATTTATGCAAAAAGAAAGAGATTTGTTGGTACCAAATTATTGTAACTTATGTTTGATTGTTGAAGTAGATTTTGTGATTGTTTTTGTATTGAGGAGAATGTCTTATTCTCCACTTCTGTAATTCCTTCCATCTCTTCCTTGATAATGGTTCTTCTTCTATCAAAAAAAGAAAAGAAATTTATGCAAAAAGAAAGAGATTTGTTGGTACCAAATTATTGTAACTTATGTTTGATTGTTGATACAGTTATATGATTATTGTATAAACATTGAGTTGCTGATTTAATTGTTGAGATTTGAGTTCTCCAACTTTTGGCTCATAATATACATCTCCAAGAACTGTGCTCAAGTTCTCTTTATCCTACATCAATTAATATCATATCTTAACTTGTTACCATAATTTTTGTCCAAACTTCACAACTTACCAAAAACAGTAACCTAACAAATACTAAAACACAAACTAAAACAGAACAGTAAATGAACAAGAGACAATGACATAAACCATTTGACTGCAAAGCGTTCTCTAGCCACCACAAGGAGGTGGGCACCAATGCTAAGTCCATCAGCATCAGAAGGGTCTGAACAATGCCTCCACCAACCTCAGTGTCTACTGTCATTGGAATCCACCTCCGTCGCCAGAAAATCATTCGACCACCTCTTCAATAAATAGATCTCCTTCCTGCCGTGGCGAGTGACAATGATACCAGCCTGAACCAAGGCGTCCAATGAAATGAAAGATCAACATTGGAAGACCACCAAAAACTTACGTGTGATTCCCACACGCCAACCATTGTGCATGTGTTTCATAATTTTGGTACCTTCTGTTGACCAATTCAAATCTGTTTGACTTAATCAAGTTCAACTACTCGGATTCAACCACCTCCATTCATAAGGTTTTTGGCATATCTTTTCCCTTCTAAGGTTAATGTGGTCGAATTCACACCCATATTCACCTTTTGCGCAGATTGATTATTTGGCCAAGCGAGTTAATGTTAGCTCATGCACTCAAATCATTTGGTTTAAAATGCAAGTTAAATCTTCTAATTAGCTTGATGGAACAGAAAATGAATGTCATTCTAGTATTATATCATCAACCAATAAAGGGCTTGAACAGTGGCTTGTGGACATTGATTACATGCTTACAAACCTTCCGCATTTGACTATTGAACTTTAACTTCTGGATTAAGTTAAGTATTCTCTCCCAAAAGTATATCAAGAGTCATCTAAGTTGATGCAACCCCAAGGATAACCTTCTTCACTTGGAAGGTTGTCAGGAAATGCATTCTAACTCTGTATGAGCTTATAAGGAGGGGGGAAATTCTACTGAATAGTTGCTATATGTGCAAGAGAGAAACTAAGTCTCATAATCATATCCTTTTGCAGTGTCCATGTGCATACCGGTTGTGGAATTTGGCTCACAATATTTTGGGTTGAATTGAATGATAACTAGATCAATGAAAGAGGACTTATATAATTGGAGAGGAATTCATGAGGATAATTGATTAAGACTTATCCCACTAACTATCTTTTAAGCGATATAGAAAGAGAGAAATAGAGGGGCTTTTGAGAGCATTGAATTTTAGTTTGGGATTCTTAGTTCTATACCTTAAGCTTTTTGTTAAGAAGTGACTCATTTTATTCTAGCAAGGACCATGGAAACCTTATAAATGTTTTGATAGATTTGAAATCATTATATACGGGATACATCCTTTTGGAGCTTTTGAATGTAAATAACTTTTATTTAAAAAAAAAAAAGTTGATACAATACATATTTTATCTATTATTATGAGCCTTGGTCAGTGATAAACTTCAAAAGCACTCAAAATATCAATGTGAAACATGAATTTGCTTATTGCACATGTAAACTAACCAGAATGACTACAACAACATTGTCCCAAAAAACTCGATAACAACATTGTCCCAAAAACTGTTCACGAGACACTTAAGTTCCCAAAATGGAAAGCCGCAATCCAAGAAGAAATCACAACGCTTGAGAAGAATGAGACATGAGAACTATCTGATCTACTTTCAGGGAAAAAGCTTGTAGGGTGCAAATGGATCTTCACTACAAAGTATAATCCTAATGGAACTGTGAGTCATCATAAAGATCGCCTTGTTGCCAAAGGTTTCACTTAGTCGTATGGGATTTGATTATCAGGAAACTTTTGCCCTAATTATTAAACATAACACAATACGGGTTCTATTCTCCTTGGCCTCAAACTTTGATTGGCCTCTTCATCAACTGGATGTAAAGAATGTTTTCCTCAATGGAGATCTAGAAGAAGAAGTTTACATGGAAATCCCTCCTGGACTTAGCATCAGATCTAACAAGGTATGCAGATTCAAAAATGCTCTCTACAGTCTTAAACAGTCTCCAAAGACATGATTTGAGAGATTCTCAAAGGCAGTGAAACAGATGGGATATGTTCAGTGTCAATCTGATCACACACTTTTTGCCCAAAGTAGTGCCAGGGAGAAGAAATCTATCATAATTGTATATATTGATGACATTATCTTAATAGATAATAATGATGAAGAAATTCTAGAACTCAAAAAGTTTCTAACCAAAGAATTCTAGATCAAAGATCTTGGGCTACTTCGATACTTTCTTGGGATGGAAGTAGCTCGATCTAAGAAAGGTATCTCTATTTCACAATGCAAATATGTCTTAAATCTTTTAAAAAAAACAGGTATGTTTGGTTGTAAACCAGTAGAAACACCGATGGAGTCCAATGTCAAAATCGGTCTAAAAAATGATAGCAAACCTGTTGATAAAGAGAGATACCAGAGATTTGTTGGCAAACTTATCTATCTTATTCATACCAGACCTGATATCAGTTTTGTTATAAGCACTGTAAGTTAATTTATGGTTGAACCAACTGAAGAACATATGAGCGTCGTTTACCAGATTCTGAGGTACTTAAAGATGACCCCTGGTAAGGGGTTGTTATTCTAGAAAACAATAAACAGAGACATTGAGATCTTCATTGATGCTGACTAAGCAAGATCAGTGACTGATAGAAGATCAACAACTGGCTACTGTACATATGTGTGGGGCAAGCTAGTCACTTAGCGAAGTAAGAAACAGTCAGTTGTATCTAGAAGTAGTATTGAAGTTGAATTGAGATCTCTTACTCATGGAATATGTGAAGATGTATGGCTGAAGAAGATTCTATCTGAACTAAGCTTTTGTATTCCTAATCTTATGAAACTCTGGTGTGACAATCAATCAACCATCAGTATGACCAAAGATCCAGTGGATCATGATAGAACCAAGCATGTGGAGATTGATCGTCAATTCATTAAAGAGAATATAGAAGACAAGACCATTACCCTACACTATGTTTCTACTGATCTTCAGACTGCTGATATTCTTACAAAGGCACTACCAACAGGAAAATTTAATAATATTGTATTCAATATAGGATTACTCAATATATATATGTAACCTAAATTGAAGGGGAGTGTAGAAAATATTAGAATAAGGGTAGTTTAGTATTTACTCTTTCTGAACAGGTAGAATGTCCACCACCACCACCAGAAATTGGTTACGTTTGTTGCTTATTTTTCCTTTTTCTGTTTTTCTCTCACACTCTCACCTTTGGTGTACCATCAGGGCAATGAGTGCCTATAAATGGCACCTCACCCTCTCTGTTTTAATCAAGCAAGAAAGAAGAGAAGAACCTCTCATTTTATCTCTCTCAAACTCTGCTTCCATTAAAATCTTCAGTTCCCATCACCAATCC